GGAAATCACACTAATAGAACATAATAAAGAAGTGTTCCCAAGAACTCGAGGGCAACAACATTCTTACAGGGAGGCACCAGCCAAAAGAAATAACACTCATCTTAAGGAAGATCACCTGGAAGTGAATGAAAAGTTTTCGCCCTCACTCGGCTTGGTGGAAGTGTATTTCCTTTTCTCAAAGCTAAGTAGTCTACATGGAAAATAATTTGTTCTCAGTATGCTGTTGTGAAATTCACTACGTTGAGTATTATACTGTTTACTGATCAATTCTGTTCTTTCCAGATGTCCTCTCACATATCTGCTACTCTCAGGAGCAGCAGAATCGATTTAGAGAGGAGGAAAGGTAAAATGGAGACAATCTGAACAAATGAGCTTCAGCAGAAGTGAAAGCTATTGCTAGTTTAGAAAGGGAAAAAAATAAATAAATTAGATTTCTAAAAATCAGCCTATATTTTTATCAGCTATGAAACTAATGTATACACCATTGTATAAAAACAATTTCTCAACAGTCTTGGCTTGTAATTAAATATTTCCTAAAAACCACGTAGAATTTTGCTTCTTTTCAGTTTTGCTACTTTATTTACCCTCTGATTTTAACGGTTTAGAAACAATGTCTTCATCTGGACTGTGGACACTAACATTCATTTACAAATAATAAACAATCAATGGCTCTGCCCCCTTCTCAAAGGCAGCAGCTCCTGTTGACCACACGTCTCTTGACAGCCAGTTCAGAGAGAGAATGGAGAAGAGTCCCTTCCTCTCTCCCTTCCACCTTCACCCAGAACCAAGAAAATCCTAGTAATACTGGCTAATTCTGAGGATTATGCCAAATCTCTGACTGGAGAACCAAGTCTGCAGGTCCTGTGTTGGAAGGAAGAGTCAAAACATAAACTGAATTTCTACCGATAAAAATGTATCACAAGCATCGGTGAATGCTCACTTCCTTATATTTCATTTGCATCCTTACACCAGCAGGGTTGGCCTCGGAGGAAAGCCCCACTTCCTAAACCCACTCAGATCGTTTTGGGCAAATGGAGGGAAGGTTCGTGGAGACAGTACAAGCTAGATGGGAAAAACGGGAGTAAAGAGAATTAGGTGGCAGGATGCTACAGTCCTTTATAAGGACTCTGAATAGGAACATGACAGAATTAGATGCCCTGAACCTGTCAGCTAAGTTATTACATAATCAGGTGGCTACCCAATACCAAGAAAACAAGTTTGTATTTTAAAAAGTTAAATTCAACAAACCTCGCTTTCGATTAGCAAAAGAGCTAACATTTGTTAAATGGGGAAAATAGGAAATCATTTATTAATTTTTACTCAGTAGGAAATCGTACTGGCATTCAATAACTGTTCTGAGTGCCCCCACCCAGACTCATTAGAGCTAAAGATTTCAAGGAAGTAATTCGTAAAGAGCAATGCTGCCCCCTAAGTTATTTCAACACCCAGATTTTGTAAGAGGCTGAATTAATCTCTCTTCAAATATTTAAAAACATCTCTCCAAGGTTTCTTGAAGGCACTTAATGTCTTCAATTCTAGCAAGCTTAAGAAGCAGTTAGTAAGGCTATGGAGTGTGCATATACATAAACACGCACATACATGTGTTGAGTCTGTGTATTTGCACATGGGAGCGTGTACATGTTATACAATGACACATGAAACCCAGCACTTTAGAACAAATTAATAACAAAAGAGATGCAAGAAGACACTTATTCAAAAGAGACCAAAATTTTTCTTTTCTTTTCTTTTTTTTTTAAAATAGAGATTGTGTGAGTTAGGTACTTGGTTATCTGTAAGCAGCAAGCATTCCTGTTTGCATGTGCATGCATGTGTGCGTGCATGTGTGTTTTAAATGCCACAGTAACAAGTAGAATGTAACCAGTGCTGCCATGAGACAGTACTGCGTGCTAGCATAGTGTCTGTCCTGTCCCACACGGTTTTGGAGGGAAATCACATGCTACAAAGGCCGAGCTACTTCCTCCTTGCCCCCCACAGAGGACGACGCTGTATGGGTAAGGCGGCCAGAAAGACTGCCATGTCTCACCTGAGCAGAAATAATTGGAGACATGATTTCAGGGTTTCTGTGCAGGGGGAGGGAATGAAGCAATTAGTGGAAATGCTAGGGGCAAAATGAGTGGGCGCTCTCACCCCACTGCCAACTCAAAGGCCAGGAGCCAACCTCACTGTCATTCCTGCCCTAATGAAGGGGGAGGGCGGGCTCTGCAAACCCCGTGGATGTGTATATTTCAAGGTATGTGCAGATATGTCCATACCATGAGGTAGAAGAAAGGTCAAGATGATAATTGTGAGGGAACAAACTGGAATTCATTTTACTTAGATCTGAGAACCCCAAAATGAATTCTCTTAGCAAAAGCCTTTGTGAGAGAGAATACAGTGGGGGAACGCAGAGTTTACTGCAATAGAAATATCTTATTCAAGACGGTAAAAACTCAAACATCCTTCAGAAAGCCTCCCAAAAAAACCTCACTGGCCAGGACTAAACCATGTTTTTCAGGAAGGAATAAAAACAGCATTTGTGTTTCACTGCCCAACTAATGTAATACGCACATGGAAGTGGATCTCTAAAACAGATCCTAGTGACAGTCGACTGCTAGTCTCCCGAGACCCCCCAGTAGATCGAGGACGCTAATACAAGCGGGCTCGAGACGGAACAGAAAAGCCCTTTGTTTAATTCTTCACCCCTCTTGACTGCTCAACTTCTGTCCAGTATGTATTTTTCACATAGAATATTTATTAAAGCCTTCATTTTATCACTAGTTTTCCCATTGTAAGATTATAAAGTATCATTTGACAGGAGAACTCAGGACTTTACAAACGCTTAAACACATACTCCACCACTGAGCTATACCTCCAGCACTAAAACACTACCATTAGTATCATAATTTACAAGTAAGAAAACTGAGGGTCATGTTAAGTAAGTAACACACCATTAAAGGAAAGAGCCATGGTTTCTTTCTTTTTTTTTTTTCTTTGAAGAGTCTACATCACTCTGCCTTCACTGACCTCATGTGATGGGTAAGGAGCATAAAGTCTCTAATTATTTTCTAGCAAAACCACTACTTCCAGCTAGGCACAGGGGTGCAAGTCTATCCAAGCACACCAATACTCTCAGTGAGGCACAGCGCATGTCTATCAGCCCAGAACACCAAACACTGGAGTAAGAGGATCATGAGTACATGAGTGCATGCTTGCATGCATGCACAAGACGCGCACACATGCACGCACGCACGCACGCACGCACACACGCACACAATATTTCCTCCAGGAAATAAAAAAAAAAAGGATGTCTGAAAAGTTTCATGAGCAGAAGTGTGCTTCCCCAAAATTCATATACTTGAAGCAACATCTTGGAATATTGGAATGTGGCTATATTTGAATATGTAGCCTTAAAAGATGTGATTAACTTAAGATGAGACCCTTGGGGTCACGGAAAGTCTGACTGGTGGTGCCCTTACAAGAAGAGAAAGCTCAGACGCACTAGAAGACACCAGTGGTAAACACAGAGGCAAAGACCATGCTAGACGAGCCATCTGAAGACTAAAAGTCCCCCAGAATAAAACTAACTCTGCTACCAACTTGACTTTCAGGATCTACCTTCCAGAGCGACAAGAACATAAATGTCTGTTGTTTAAGACACCCAGTCACCTCAGAATAGCCTGTGTCCACACTTCCTCCACTGACCTCATCATCCTTGATGGTTCAGGAAGTTTGGGGGTAGAGGCCCTAGGAAACTAGTACAGGAGAAACAGAAGTCCTTTAGCAGCACTGCACCATCACCCACCACAGCAGCAGCTCATCTGCCTTCCATCGGGCTAAGTGTTAATGAAGCCGGAAAGAGTTCTAGCTCCAAAGGACTGATTACAGGAGTATGGCTGTGTCACCAAGCACACCCCTTCCAACACCTTTCCCTTATGCTACCATCTCTCTCATGGAAACATGGCCGAGAGAGGTCCTTACAACTCCAACACACATGCCCAAGCAAGCGAGGTACATGATAAATTAAAAGCATTTCAAGACATGGCCTGGTGGTGTTACCTCAGATCTTGCTAGAATAACATGACATTTATAAAAAATACAACCCACTGAATGTTTGGCACTGCTGGGGAATGAAGAGTATGTCCACTTAAGAGCCAATACCCGAGGCTGTCAAAAAACTCAAGCCAGGGTTTCTTCTATAAACATTACCTATCTTTTAAAATTACACAGTCTAGGAGGTGGAGAAAATGTCTGCTTATTTCCATGTCTCCTTTTGCTTAAACACAATAAACACAAACCACACACAATAATATGTTAACTATGCAGTGAAACCACGCTGATGGAGCAGCACTTTGTACCTGGCAAACAATCTCCACACTAGAATCTCTGTTTGGGCCACCCTCACTCCAGTGACACCTACACACAGTGCAGTCTTTAACAGCGTGGGCCTCCTCTCACCCCGGTGCACACTGAAGGGGTATTTACAGGTTACTTTTTCAGATACCAGCCACTTGCTCACCCGCCTTAAACCATACAAAGTTTAACATCTGGAAGGATAAACTCAGTACACACGACAAGGGCGTGCAGTCACTGGGGAGTTCTCCAGCGAGGAAGATCTGCCAGCTTCCCTCTGAGGTCCAGGCCCTGAAAGGCCAACTGTGGTATGTTTGAGTTTCCATCAGGCCTGGTACTTGTTGGCTGCTGCTGTGCTCAGTATGAACCCCACTGCCCAAGTATTCTATAAACATCTCTCGCCCTTCTGCCGAGAGCTGCCTGCCTAGTCTTTCTTCCTGGGGAGGGGAATGTGCTGCTGGAGAGCTGCAGGATGAATGTTAACTAACACTTGGAGCACAGTTAACTGCTCTCTTTTCCAGGTCAACGATTATTCTTACAAACAAAACAAAAAAAAAAAAAACAGAGCAACGTGCACACGTGTGTGCATACACACACACTCACAGGAGCATAGCAAGATCAACAGAAAGAGGAGTCTAGATTTTCCTCACCATGTGCCACCCAGCCATGTTTACACTGATCACAAGTCCGCAGGTTAATCTTCCCTGGCTGGAAACACTCACACGTGCAGTTTACCAGTGTGCAGCGGATGGCCTGGAAACAGAGGAAGAGAAGACATCAGCACGGGTTCGACCGCATTTTATCTCTCACTGGTTTTAGCATCTAGTACCCATCTTTACCCTGAAAGGTTTTTATGTTGGTAAAGGTCTGAAGACTTTTGAAAATAAATTTATATTAAAATATTTTACAACAAAGGGTTGAGCAAACAAAGCACAGTCATGAATGCATTTTAAGTCTTTAGATACAAAGGATAAAACAAGGTGAGTGTGGATAAAGGACTGTGTTTTTCACGGGACACTGGATTTTTAACACTGGCTCTCCAAAAAAGAAAAACAGTTCTGCTGCTGTGGTGTGTGTTTATTTAACTTAACCACCTCACAATGATGCAAAACGGCACATATCCAAGAAGATACCAGCCAAATACTGTTCAAGGAAGATATTTGTAAAAGGAAAACATGGCAGACAAACAATAATTATTAGAAAAATCCCTTTACTAGCTTTCATTTAAATGCTTATAACTATCATTTCCCCATCTCGTTTTCCTTTGATTTATTAATTCTAGTTTCATCCCTATTTTAAAATAAAAGCAACCCTTTAATTTTAATGATGACAAGAAAATGAATTGAAACTTTATTTTGAGATCAGATAGAAAACAGAAAAAATGTTTACATGCATATTCTATACTTGGAAAAGTACAATTTTTTTCCTAGAACGTACGTATACACACACACACACACACACACACACACACACACACACACACACACACACAGTCTTTTGATTCTGTACAAACATTTTAAAAATCACCTCACCAGGTCATATGATAAATTGAATTCTTGGAAAGCTCCATAAAGCAAGAACAACTTTTGATGACTGAAATCCATGCTTAGGAACCGTGCTAAAGCTGCTGTCCTGTGCCACAAGACATCAGGTAATAACTTTACCTTGTATGTGTGACTTCTAGCTGCATGGAAATTCTAGAAAGCAGAAGGGATTTAACTTGATCACTCACCTATTAACAATCTACTGTGACCATCTGAACTGGTGGAAAACACCTCCTTAGAGATTTAGATGTAATCAAGGATGACTGGGATGGGGTGGACACCCCCAAGGAGGGCGAGTTGACTGAAAGCGCAGATAGGGACTGGCAGCCACACTCACATAGTCCAAAGCTCACCTTCCTGAAAGCATTTGAGTTTTCTATAAACTATTTCCCTTGTACGAGACAGTGTTCTAGATACTGTTAACATGTTTGGGCCAAGTCCATTTGCAATGGATCAGACTCAGTGGGCCTCTCTCCCTATGTACAAGCCATGCATGTTTGAAGATGTTTTGTTTCACTAATGAATGCTCTCGCTGTGAGTACTTACCCGTTTTAGATGGGACAGTCCTCAACCTAGGTTCCTTTCAGACTTAATTCCCTCTTTTGTTCAGCACTCAAGAGATACTTGATTACACAATCTATCTGTTATTTCAGAGTTTCTTCTAGCCTGTCATCAGATTGTACCTTATCTAGGTTATTAAAGTTAGCTGCACATTTTTGTGATTAAAGGGCTAAAGGGGCATAAGTAGAAATACTCTTATAAAAGCTCAATTTCCAATTCCTGTACTGACTGATCTATCAGAACATGTTTATAAACAGCTTCTTTACACAACATGCTAATTGATTAATGAACTCAAGATTTGATTGTACTATGATCAAAACTAAAGTTTAGGATATAATGTTTCCATTAAATACAAGTTGCCTTTCAAAGTATCCAGTTATCAGTTCAGATATCGAGACTATATTAACACTAAAAATACTTGAAGTACAGTAGTACAAACTTTCATAAATAATTCCTAAAAACCTCTGCTTTATCAAAATCAAGGAGTATACAATAAAAAGAAATGATATCCCATGAACAATATTTAACTCTAGAATAATAAATGACATTAATGACTTTGAATCATTAATTTGATGTTAATCATTTTGCCAGTGTTTTATTTTATATCACTTAAAGCAAACATTCAATTTTAGTAGTAATCAAGATAAAAACAAATAAAAGATATAGATTAGTTTTATACACACACACACACACACACACACACACACACATACATATACACACACATATATATCTTAGAACTGGCTAACTCATTCCTTCATTACTACTTAAATAATTTTATCATCTGGTTCATTTGGGAATTAAATCTTTTAAGATGCTTTCTTTTTTTGTTTTACAGATTCTATCTTTTTATACCCAAACATAAAACACTGGAACACCTCAACCCTTTTATATATAAACACTTAAGCACAAGAATAGGCATTTTGTATTTCTATAAATTCCAGAAGGCCTATCTTTTTAAAACTCAGACCTGCGTAGACTACAATTCTGGCTTAGGGGAATTACATACACTTAAACAATATGGTCTAAATAAATATTTTGGGTAAGAGACTAATGTGGCTTCAAAGGAAGTTCTGTTTTAAATAATGTTTCTGAAATAGCGTAAAACTTTGGCATACTATTTATTCAGAACAAAACAGAACCAATGTGATCATTTACCAACTCAGGCACACTTACAAAATAGATTATCGTAAACTATCAAGCTGGTTAAGCCTCAGAAGTGTCCACGTGCTTCAGGGAGACAGTCGGAAAGAGCTCCACGGAAGAGCCTTCATTCCTGTGAGCATCTTCAACTCTCTTCCCAGTCTGCTGGGAACTCTGCATAGGACCTGTACATATGATACCGTCTGAATGACAGGCTCTGAACACCAGAAAGGAGGAAGGCTGCAGAAGCTTTACTGAGACTAGTCCTACCTCTCTGCAGGAGCAATGTTCAGGCCAGCCAACGCAGACTAGGCTACAGGACCCAGCGTAGCATATCCCTCACCTACTTGTAACTCATCCACTCAGCTCCCAAGAACAAGCTGCAGGAGCTACCCCATCCCTCTAACTACCTTGTAACTCCTACTCTCCGCACTCAAGAACAATGATAAACATTTTAACCCACAGCACATTAAAAATAACCACCCCTGCTTACTTCTACCATGGGTTTCTTCAAAGAGAAACCCATGCATGCCCAAAACAATGTCTCTACTTTCTCACGCCATCTTCATTTTAATTCTGCTATCTGCATTCTGTCCACAGGGTCTTGAAGCTGCACTCTCTGAAGCAATGCTCTCAGTACATCTGGTCCACTTTTAGTCTCCTCTTCCTACTAGACCTGGGTGCAACTTGCACCACTACCTTGCTTTCATTCCTGAGCAGTAGAGACCGACTATTCAACTCTCCTGGCAGCAACTTCTCTCTTGCCACTGAAAATAAATACAGGTGTTGCCCATGGCCAGGCTCTTCCTTCTTAATTTGGTAGTTCCACCCTCTCCTACAACTCTACAGACAAGTGCCATGTTATAAAAACATCACTTGGGAGCCAGTCACTGTACTAAGTGGCAAGAAATGAATGACAGTGTCATTGTGTGCAAGGCTTGACAACCTGGTATTTGTAGGCAGTGACTGGGCTTAGAGGGCAGACCCCCCAAAATCAAGAGTTCTTACACACGGTAGAGAACTACCATCTATTCCTCTCTATTCCCCCATCCAAATACGATCACTCCTTAGTGTTCGTTACGATTAATAATAGCTAGATTAAATGAATGTTTGCCATTCTCCCAGCAATGTGCTAGATAATTTACAAAGAAATGACTATGAGCTTGACATTTACTCCTTTTTGTTTACGTATGTGAGACCCGAGGTGATAACTAAGTACCCTGCTTGAAGTCACTCCTGCATCTCTAACACAAGTGTGTCAGAGTTCTCTGAACCAATGGCTAGTGATCACTGAGTGTTGCTCCTGCTCAGAGAGCCGCCACAGAACAGTTTTGTTGACATATGTCTCCCTCCAAAAATCATCTGTCCTTCCCTTTCCTGGCCTTCCACTCTCATTGTTAATGCCTGAATTCCTGTTGTGTTTTTCCTGAACCATTCAAAATGGCTCCTAATTAATTTGGTCATTCTTCTTTTCTCCTTGTCAAACTAACCTTCTCTTCACTCTATCTGTCTCTGTGGAGACTGCTTTACTCTTTATCTTTACCTTCTCATCAATTTCCCACCTCAATCCTTTTCTTCCTATTCATTACACCTGCTCATTGTATTTGTGGTATGGTGTGTATGTGTGTGTGTGCGTGCGCGCGCGTGCGCGCATATGCATGCATGTGCAAATGCTTGCTCAAGTATGTATGCATGTTCTGTAGTGCACATGTGGAAATCAGGACAACTTATGGGAGTTGGTTTTCTTCTTCCACCATGTGGGTTCCAGAGATCTGACTTAGGTCATTGGACTTAGCAACAAGGTCATCCTCAGCTACATATGAATATGAAACAAGCAAGATCTACATGGAATCCCCAAAAAGTGGAGGAAGAGAGTTCTTTAAGCACCCTTTTTCATCCGTTAATAATGGGTGCCACGAATTACATGGTAATTTTGTCAAAGGACTTAATTAATCCACATACAGCATAGGGTACCCTGGCTGGATAGGTTAAAGTTTAACAAATGACAATGATTTATGATCTCAAGAAATTGTCTATATATAAGAAATGGTTCTTTCTCACTAATGATTCTTCATACTGTATTAAATTTTATTACAGTATTTTGTCAGATATGTAACATATTTAATGTTAATGAATAAGAGACTGCATATATATGTATATATTACAGTCTATACTGAGGACAAATATTATTATTTCCATTCCAAGGCTCTAAAATGATATTAGTGGAGGAACTCCACCAATTACTATTCACTGTATTTCTCTACCTGTAACAAAATAGAGAAAAGGTACAGACTCAAAAGTATATCAGAAATGGTAGTAGTAACTCACACATATATAGTTCCATCCAGCTGGGATGCTGAGGCAAGAGGATTGCTTGAATTGAGAGGTTTACCAATCACCTGGACAATATAAACAAGAGCCACCTCAAAAAGGAACATCTAAAACCTACAAAGTAAGGTAAGGTGGTAAACAGAGCATTAACATGTTTTTTTTTTGTTTGTTTTT